TTATGTTCATGAAGGATATTGCTCAGTTTTCTATTTTTGTAATATATTTGTTGGGTTTGGGCATAAGAGTAATGCTGTCTACACAGAATGAGCTGGAGAAGAATGCCACATGCTTCAGCTTCTGGAAGAGGTTGTGCAGAATTGGTATTATTTCTTCCTTAAATGTTTGGTAAAAATTACCAGTGAAGTCAAGAAGGTTTGGAGTTTTTACTATGTATTCAATTAGTTTGATAAATATAGGACTATTCAGACTATCTATTTCTTCTTAGAGAGCTTTAGTGGTTTGTGTCTTCCAAGGAATTTATTCATTTTCTTAAAGTTGCCAACTTTATTGGCATAAAGCTCTTTATAATATGGCTTTATTATCCATTTAATATCTGTAGAATCTGTAGTTATGTTACCTCTTTTTTTTGATATTGGTAATTTGTGTCTTTTTTATTCCTGATAAATATGGATATATGTTTATCAAATGCATCAATCTTTTCAAAGAATTAACTGTTAATCTATTATTTCATTTCCCACTCCAATATTTGTCCTATTTACTGCTTATTTAAAGTTTACTTTACTCTTCTTTCTACTTAAGGTGGAAGTTGAGGTCTGTGATTTAAGACCTTTCTTGTTTATCTAATAATATAGATATTTAGTGCTGTAGATAGTCCTCTCGTTACTGCTTCAATGGTATCCCACAATTTTTTATGTGTTCTCATTCCAGTTTAGTACAACGTATCTTCTCATTTCTTTTTGATCTCATAAACAGCCCATGAGTTAAACATTGTTGTATAGTTTCCAGATACTCAGCAATTTTTGACAAAACTTCCTGTTATTAATTTCTAAGTTAATTCTATTGTGGTCAGAGAACTTGAGATTTTATAAAACATGATCTCTTTTGATGAATGTTTCATGAACATTTGAGAGAAATATATTCTGTTGCTCTTGAATGCAGTATCATATAAATGTTATAAATGTTAATGAGGTAAGTTACTTTATGGTATTGTTCAAATTTTATATATCCTTACTGATAATCTACTTGTTCTGTCAGTTATATTCAACTCTATCACTACACCTGTGGATTTCTCAATTTCTTCTGGCAGTTATATTAGTTTTCGCTTCATGTATTTTGAAGCCCTTTTATAAGTACACAGAAATTAAGTTTTTATGTCCTGATAATTTGAGGTCATTATCATTATAGAATACTCTTAGATTTTCAGCTTATTATACTTTTCTGTGAAGTATTCTTTGTCTGATATTAGCATATCCACTCCAGTTTCTTTTTCTTTTTTCTTTTTTGAGATGGAGTCTCACTCTGTCACCCAGGCTGGAGTGCAAGAGCATGATCTCGGCTCACTGCAACCTCTGCTTCCTGGGTTCAAGCATTCTCCTGCCTTAGCCTGCTGAGTAGCTGGGACTACAGGTGTGTGCCACCATGCTCAGCTAATTGTTTGTATGTTTAGTACAGACAGGGTTTCACAATGTTGGCCAGGATTATCTTGATCTCCTGACCTCATGACGTGCCCACCCCAGCCTCCCAAAGTGCTGGGATTACAAGCATGAGCCACTGCTCCTGGCCTCCAGTTTTCTTTATAATAGTATTAACATGGTACATAGCTTTTTATCCTTTTACTTGTAACTTGTTTGTATCTATATATTTAAAATGTGTTTCTTAATGTGGTACACAGACACCACGGAATACTTTGCATCAATATGGATGCAACTAGAGGCTACTATCCTAAACAAATTAATCCACAGGAACAAAAAACCAAATACTGTATGTTCTCACTTATAAATGGGAGGTAAATATTGGGTACTCATGGACATAAAGATAGCAAAAATAGATACCAGGGACTAATAGAGAAGAGAGGGAGGGACGGAAGCATGGGATGAAAACCTAATTGTTGGATACTATGCTCACTATATGGGTGATGGGATCATTCCTATCCTAAACACCAGCATCATGCAATACACCTGCGCTTGTACCTCCTGAATCTACAATGAAAGTTGAAATTATAAAAAGTAAATGAAACATATTTATTGTAGGCAGCTTATAGATTAGTCTTGCATTTCCAGCCAATCTGAAAGCTGTCTTTTAATGAGGACATTAAAACTTTTAATGATATGTGATGAATTATATGGTTAGATTTAAATAAGCCATATTGCTCTTTGTTTCATCTGTCCTTTTTCTCCTTTTCCTGTATTCTTTCAATTAATTGAATATTTTGTAGCTCCATTTTATCTTCTCTATTGGCTTATTAGATATGATTTTTTGTTACTTTAGCAATTGCTTGGGGATATTTAATATTCATGTTTAACTTACTGTACTGTACATTTTTGACTTATCTATGGTATATCTGTTTAACCTTAACTTTAAGTGATGTTAACCATGACACATATTGTAAGAGAACCTTAGCACAGTATACTTCCATTTCTGCCTTCCTGTCTTTTCTGCTATCATGGGCATATATTTTATTTCTACATATTTTAAACTCCACAATACATTATTTTTTCTGTAAATAGTCAATTATCCTTTACAGAGATTTAAACAGGAAAGAACAAGAAAAAGTACATTTATTCTTACACACATTACTATTTCCAGTAATTTTTTTTTTTTTTTTTTTGAGACAAACTCTGTCACCTAGAGGTAGTGCAGTGGTGAGCTCTTGGCTCACTGCAACCTCTGCCTCCTGGGCTCAGGAGTTTCTCTCATTTCAGCCTCTCAAGTAGCTGCTGGGACTACAGGTGTGTACCACCATGCCTGGTTAATTGTTTTTTATTTGTAATTTTTGTAATTTTTTAAAGAGGGATGAGGTCTCACTGTATTGCCCAGGCTGATCTTAAACTTCTGGGCTCAAGTAATCTTCCTGTCTTGGCCTCCCAAAATGCTTGGATCATGGGTGTGATTCACTGTGTCTAGCCGTCAGTACTTTTTATTCTTTATGTGCATTTCATCTGTATTTTTATTATGTCTGAAGGTCTCCTTCAGCATTTCTCATAGTGCGTCTCTAGTGGTGATTAATTCTTGCAGCTTTTGTATGTCTAAAAATGTATTTATTTCAAGTTTCTATTTAAAAGTTGTTTTCATTGAGTATAGAATTCTTGAATTTAGTTTTTCTTGATAGCATTTTTTGAGTATTTGAGAAATGTTCTACTGTCTTCTAACTTGCATTGTTTTTTCTTGAAAAATACGATGTTATTCTTATCTTTATTACTGTATACTTAACATGTCTTTTATTCTCTGGCTTCTTTTGAGATAGCCTCTTTATTACAGTTCAGAGAATTTGACTATGATGTGCTTTGGTGTAGCTGTCTTCATGTCTTTTATATTTGGAGTTTATTGATCATCTTGGATCTATTAGGTTTTAGTCTCTATAAACTTTGATACAAATTCAGCCATCACTTCTTGAAATATTTTTGTCTTATCCTTTCTTATCTCTTCTGTAGATTTCATTAAAAATTATTCCACGTCTCAGTGATTCCCTTCTTTTTCTACAGTTCTGTCTTTTTCTGTTTTTCATTGCGTAGTTTAGTTTACTAGTTATATCTTCTGCAATGTCTAATCTGCCAATAATTCTATTTAGTGAATTTTTTAAAATCTCCAAGTATAGCTATTATCTCTAGAAATATCATTTAGATTTCTTGTTTATGTCATATATCTACTTAACTTGCTTGATCTTTCCTCTAGCTTTTGGAATATCTGGCATACAGTTACAATAAGTGCCTTTATACCTTTGTCTTCTAACATCTGTGTAAGTTTGGGGTTTGTTTTGATTGACTGAGCTTTTGAATATAAGTCATATTTTTCTGCTTCTTTGCAAACCTGTTAATTTTTTATTGGATGCCAGACATTAAGAATTTTATCTTGTTGGGTACTGGATACTGTCATATTTCTCTAAGTCTTCTTGTGCTTTGTTCTCAGATGCAATTAGTTGTTGTGGAACCACTTGATTTTTTTGGATCTCGCTTTCCTGATTTGTTAAGCAGATCAAGAGTAATCCCAAGTTTAAGCCTAATTATTTTCTTTTTCTCAGGCAAGATCCTTTGAGTGTTCAACCCAATGCCTTCAGAATTTAGCAGTTTTCCATTTCAGCTGGTGGCCACAGGCACTTTTTCAGACTCTGTGAATACCAGCTACTGTTTATGCTAATCTTTCTATGAGGCTCTTTCTCCTGACACAGGGAGTTTTCTCACATGCAATGTGTTGATTAGCACTCTTCAGAATATTTGAAAAGTACTGCCTGGAGATTTCTGGCATTCTCTCTCATGCAGAATTCTCCCCTGTTCTTCAAATTTTAGCAGACTTTGCATCCCCAGATTCTTAGCTGCATCACTTCACTTGAAGACTTCTGGGCCCTCTCTGGGTTTTTCTTCCATGACTAAAACCAGAAAATGCATCGTAAGCAATTAACTGAGGCTAGCATAACAGTCACCTCATTTGTTTCCCATTTCTCAAGGGATATTATTCTTTTTTGGCTTAAACCAATGTTTTTAAAATCATTGTTTAATATATTATTTCAAATATTTTAGTTGTTTCTGTCAGGAAAATGCAACGCCTGTTATTCCATCCTGATAAGAAGCAGCAGTCTCAAGTTGAAGTCTATGAGATAGTACATGCTAACTTAAGACACCTTTGAAAAGTTCTCTTGACTCATTCTAGAAATATCTAAGAGATGTCTCGCATGTGTCCTCCACCATTATCTGTACTTCTCCACCAGGGACTTAGTCTCACATGTGGCAATCCTAATCAAAATCTCAAATGAATTTTGGTAGATATCAACAAAGTGATTCAATGATTTACACAGAAAGTCAAAGAGAAGAGCCATAAGAACTTTGAACAAACAGAACAAAGTTGGACAAACAAATCCTAACAATGACAATCCTGGTGAGGCTGACAAGCAACTGGAACTCTCATTTACTGCTGGTGAAATGCAAAATGATACAGCCACCTTAAAAACCTGTTTATCTCACCCAGGCGCTGATACCTGAAAACTGAGTGTGAGCCCATGAAGATGAACCCTTTAACTAAGGTGAAGATGATCAATGAGCTGAATGAACAAGAGTTCCAGCTTGGGGTGGCCGATAAGGTGTCCTGGCACTTTGAGTACAAGGACAGTGCCTGGATCTTCCTGGGAGGGATCCCTTGTGAACTAACTGAAGGGGACATCATGTGTGTGTTCTCACAATATGGGGAGATTGTTAACATTAATCTCGTGTGGGACAAGAAGACTGGGAAATCCAAATGATTCTGTTTCCTCTGCTATGAAGACCAAAGAAGCACAATTCTGGCCTTTGACAATTTTACTGGGATCAAGATCAAAGGAAGAACTATCCTAGTAGATCATGTGTCTAACTATAGGGCTCCTAAGGACTCAGAAGAAATGGATGATGTGACCAGAGAACTCCAGGAGAAGGGCAGTGCGGTTCGTACCCCCTCACCAAGTTGGTCTGAGAGCTCTGAAGATGAAAAACCAACAAAAAAGCACACACACAAGAAAAGACAGAAACAAAAGAAAGCAAAAGAGAAAACTGATTGGGAGGTACAGGCAGAGCAAGCATCCTCTTCATCTCGCAAAAGCAAGACAGTAAAGGAAGAGAATGACCCTGGACCTAAAAAGCACAGCAGCAGGAACTTGGAGAGAGCTCAGAAGTCAGAGCCCAGGGAGGGGAGGAAGCTCCCCAGGACTGCCTACTCTGGTGCAGCAGAGGACCTAGAGAGGGAGCTGAAGAAGGGGAAACCCAGGCAAGAGCACAAGTCCTCAAGTAGGAGGGAGGCAAGAGAAGAAAAGAGCAGGGATAGGGACAGAGGACGGAGTTCAGACACACATTCTAGCCAGCACAATGGGCGAAGGGCGTGGTCATAGAAGTAGAAGTAGGAACCAAGATAAATCCCATAGGCATAAAAGGTCCCAGTGCTGCCGGGAGCAGGAGTCTTCCAATCCCAGTGTCCGTGGGCGTCACTGAAGACTGTTCAGCTGCTCAGTAGATTTGGGAATAATTATGTTTTTTAAATGTAGTCAAATTCAGTTGAGTTGTTCCTATTTTTGCATCTAAAATTTCTGGGGCTGCATTCTTTGAATCCCTAAGTCATTGAGAGGGCTGCAGTTTCAACAGCTAGATATCCTGGATATTCTTCATATCATCTATTGTTCCTTTACTACCGTGTGTATCCTGAATTTTGGTTCATAAATATGGCTCTTGAACCCATAGACCCCAGTTAGAAATGGAATTTTCAAGAAAGAGAAAATATCAGATGATTCTAGAATTGTAGTCTTTGTGTTAGATGTTTAGAACCCAGCATTGTGGGACCTTTCCAGTTACTAGGTTTGGACAACTTGATATGAATGAATGGGATAGGATTTTTAAGATCAGCCAGTCCCATGCCCAAACCCTACTGTTTAAAATAATTTTTAATATCTTCTCTTTTTCATTAAAACTTTTTTGTTTGATATGCCTCTTTTCACATTTTCCCTTGCAATGTATTTATTATTAATTTGTATTGAAGTGAAATTCACATAATATAAAGTTAACCATTTTAAAAGGAACAATTCAGTGGTATATGGTACTGAACATCCACAGGGTTATGTATCCATCACCTTTGTCTACTTCCAAACCATTTTTTATCCCAAAATGAAACCCTGTACCAATTAAACAAGAACTCCCCATTTCCTCTCTCCTCCCTGTCCCTAGCAATCACCAGTTGACTTCCTGTTTATGGGTTTGCCTATTCTGAACATTTCATATAAATGGAATTATACAACTGTGGGGGAAAAAAAGGAAACCAGTTTGTCTGTTTCTTACAAATTTAAATAATTATACATTTACCATATGACCTAGCAATTTCATTCTTGGGGACAGGATTAAAATGAAAACTTACTTTTATACAGATATCAGTATGCCAACATTTATGGTAGTTGTATTCATAATCACCAAAAACTGGAACCAAGCCATATGTTCTTCAACAGGGGAACAGATGAGCAACCAGTGATACCTTCAGGTAATGGACTACTATTCAATGACAGCAAAAAAAGAATGAACTGTTGGTATATAAAATAGAATGGATGCATCTCAAATGCATTATGCCAAGTGAAAGCAACTAGATACAAAAAAGTAAATTATTTCATTTGTGTGATGTTCTGGAAGAGCAAAACCTTAGGGACAATAAAAATAGTAGTAGTTGACAGTGATTAGGGCTTGGAGGAGAAGTTGAAAACATGAGGGAATTTGGAGGGATGATGACACTATTTTATTTCTTGACTGTAGTGATGGTTTGTGACCCTACGTTCGCCAAAATTATAAACCAAAAAAGTGACCCTACTGTAAGTAAATCAAAAAATAGAATTTGAAAATCTACATACTGAATATTGAAACACCCACCACTTTTCCATGACTCAGCTCCAAGAATGCAGGCAACTAGGCATATTCCCCAAGGCTAGAGACTGGAAAATTCTTCTCTTGAGATATAAAAAGACTGAGTGGAGGATGAGGGCAAGATTTGCATATACTGACATTTAAGAAAATTCTCCTGAAACAGCTGGGCCTTTGCTATGCAACTCACATGAATTCCTGGTAGATATATCCTGACTGTACACACATATTTCAAATAGTGTCTTAGTACAAACTGTCATCCTATAAGTCATAGGCATTTGAGGAAAGTTTTTAACTTGAAAAACAAAAGCCAATACAAACATAAAAAGGAATAAAATCAGTAAAAATGAGATGATGCACGAAGTTCAAAAAATTTAAAAACGTTTATGTTATTGAAGAGCTAGGAGAATATATTGACAATAAAAAAGACACAATTAAGAAATCCTGTTATTTAGAGTAAAAGAAATAAAAAATATCATAAGGGTTGGAAAAGAAATTGCAGAATATGTCCCAGAAAGTAGAACTGAAGAAAAACAGATAGAAAACAGGAAAGAAAAATTTTGGAAAGTTATATGATTAATTTGAAATCCTGCATTCAAATAATAAGTCAAACAGAAAAAGAGAAGAAGAAAACAGAGGAGAAGAGATTTAGCCAATAAAAAATACAAAATACTTTCTTTAGCTAAAATAATGAATCCAGCAAAATAAGGAAGGACCCAACTGAAATGTGTCAGTATGATTTTTTTAAACACCAAAAATAAATAAATTAAAAAATAAGATCCAAAAAGTTTCCAGAGAGAAAAGTCTGGTTGCATTTAAACAACAAAGAATCAGAATGACATTATACTTGTGTCTAAGACATTGAAAGCCAAAAGACAGTGGAGCTGTGCCTTCATGTATTCATGGATATGTATTCACATCCAGCTAACCTGTCTAAAATATAAAGGTAATTAAAGATTACATTTTTAGACGTTCAAAGTCTCAAAAGTATTACTTGACAATCCCCATGCACTGTTTCTCTGGAAGCTGCTGAATGATGTGATGTAAAAAATAAGAGTCAAGAAAAACACCAACAGCAAATCTAAGATGTAGGGCATCTCATACAAGAGTGAAACTAAAGGGAGTCTCAGTACGCCATCTTTGCAATAGGCCAGATCCAACCATCCAGATTGTAAGAGAAGGATAGGAAAATAAAATAAATGTCTCCAGGGGAAACAAATTGGAAATAATAGATTGCCTGCCGTGTTTTATCATGTGGAAAATCGTACCAAATATAATCACAGATTTTATAGTTCTTTGACAAGTTTGAGAAAAATTTTTGATGGCGAACATTGTTTAATACTTATCAATAAAAATTAAGCAAATGAACACCAAGGAAAACATATTGTTTCCTTATTTTAAAAAATACAACCATAAAATAAGATTTCACTCAGAAGCAAATAATAACTTCATAGCCATAAAAATGTAATACTGGGCCAGCCACAGTGACTCACACCTGTATTCCCAGCACTTGGGAGGCCAAGGAGATGAATCACCTGAGGTCAGGAGTTTGAGACCAGCCTGACCAATATGGAGAAACCTTATCTCTACTAAAAATACAAAAAAAAAAAAAAATTAGCTAGGTGTGGTAGTGCATGCCTGTAATCTAAGCTACTTAGGATGCTGAGGCAGGAGATTCACTTTAACCTGAGAGAGGTTGTGGTGAGCTCAGATTGTGCCATTGCACTCCAGTCTGGGCAACAAGAGCAAAAGTCTCTCTCAAAAAACAAACAAAAAAAAATATAACACTGGTGATTGATTTTATTAAAATACATTATGTACGTATATAGAAAGGATGAAGGAAGGAGGGCATGGAGGGATGGGATAGTCTCATAAGAGTTGCAGATACTCCTCTTTCATACCAGGTTCTCAGCAATGCCTAAAATGGGAAAAAAATCAAATCAAAGTGAAAGTGTATTTAAAATTGTGTAGATGATTATCAGAAGAAGTAACTAAAAGAAATGAAGAGGTTGCTTCTGAGATGTCCAACTGAGAGATTAGGGAGTGCTATTCTTTCTTATATGTTCTAATTAAAACAAAAAACTGAATGCATGCTTTACTTTGATAAAATTATAATTTAAAAAATTTAATTGCAATCGCCTATTGTGAGACAGTCAGAGTGGAAGACTGTAGAATAATACTTTTGGAGAAACGGGAAGCTGTTTTCTGTTTTTCACATTTGCCTAGACATAGAGCTAGCAGCCCTGCTAGTTTCTAGGGAAGAAAAGCAGCACAGTATGATTCTTAAGTTTCAGACTTTTTCTTATAATGTCCTTTTCTTTAAAAGAAGCAATGGTATAAGAACTCCTATGTTTTAAAGTTTTCATTTTAACTCTATTTTCTTTTTTATGGTCTTTTCAAATAGAATTATTTTTCTGCCAACATCAATAGTCACCTGGCACTTTAATGCCAGTGAAGTTCTCTGCCCTAGACAGCTGATGACCATCCCATATAATAAGATTGCACCTGACATTATGAAATTGACATAACTAAATGTCAACATAGACAGGAAAATGTGGAATCAGATTTTAGTAGCATCAGCCTTTAGACTGCCCAAGAAAAAATTCTACTCTCTGAAAAGGTCCCAGAATGACATCTCAGAGGCTGAAGTCCTATGCCAAGGTTTGTGAGACTTCAGTGGTGAAATGCTTGGTCTTGGTCATGTGGTAAGTTTTATAGACTCCAGAGGGACTTCTCAAAGAACTCCAGGGCTGGTTTAAAATACCTCACACCCCTGAGGGTGTGATTAATAAAATATAAACATGCCTCTGAAGGTCTCCAAGTACCTTGGAGACAAATTAATTCTGACTTGTGTGGCATTTGTTGGCTCAGACATCTATGAATTTCTATCTTATTAGGTACTTTAAGAACACAGAAAATAGGGATATTTTAGGGTAGTTTATCACAGGTGAGTCAGGTAAAAAAATTACACTAAATTTTACTTGTAAAATGTATATAGGTAAATTTAAAAGAAAAAACATAATTAATCTGTAATTTCAAAATTCACTGTGATTTGTTATTTAGATAGCCTCTTATTTTGTCCAAGTTTATTTTCCTCTAAAATTCAGTCTTCTGAATTAATTTTTTTTCATTTTATTTTTCCCCAAAGCTATTTGGAAGACATATATTTTATTTCTAGTCTTCAAGTAGTTGTCCTTAAAATTTTAATACATTTAAATGTAAAAAAATACAAAAATCTAACATTAATCAGTATCTTTATGTGCCTCCTGAATAATATAAGGACTTAAGATGCTTAAACACAATCACTCATCTCAAAGATTACACACCCTTGTTATCTAGATTTTTACTTTTATACTGTTTCTGTTATTTTCTTTTTCTTTTTTTAAATTATACTTTAAGTTCCAGGATATATGTGCACAGTGTACAGATTTATTACATAGTTATACACATGCCATGGTGGTTTGCTGCACCCATCAACCTGTCATCTACATTAGCTATTTCTCCTAATGCTATCCCTCCCTTAGCTCCCCACCCACTGACAGGCCCCAGCGTGTGATGCTCCCCTCCCTGTGTCCATGTGTTCTCATTGTACAACTCCCACTTATGAGTGAGAACATGCAGTGTTTGGTTATCTGCTCCTATGTTAGTTTGCTGAGAATGATGGTTTCCAGCTTCATCTATGTCCCCGCAAAGGACATGAACTCATCCTTTTTTATTGCTGCATTGTATTCCATGGTGTACATGTGCCACATTTTCTTTATCCATTCTATCATTGATGGGCATTTGGGTTGGTTCCAAGTCTTTGCTATTGTGAACAGAGCTGCAATAAACATACATGTGCATATGTCTTTATATAGAATGATTTATAATTTTGGGGCTATATACCCAGTAATAGGATTGCTGGATCTAATGGTATAAAGACATTTTAGGCCAATATCCCTGATGAACATCAATGTGAAAATCCGCAATAAAATACTCACAAACTGAATCCAGCAACACATCAAGAACCTTATCTACCACAATCAAGTTGGCTTCACCTCTGGGATGCAAGGATGGTTCAACATATGCAAATCAATAAATGTA